ACCCCCCTTCTTCTCTTTGGGGTTTGAGCACACACACACACACACACACACACACACACACACACACACGGCTGGTGAGACTTTTAACCCTGTGAGTCTGGGACGCGAACTGTGGTCATCTATGTCGGAGCCCCTGAACCCCGGTGCTGCTTTCCTCAAGACAGAGCCCCTGAAGCGGGCAACTGAGGCCTTTCATCCCACCACTGACACCCTGACCATGGCTGGCCCACGGAGAACGTGCTTCTGCCATCAGTCCTCCATGGGCCAGAGCCCCAGGTCACCCGACCACACGAACCTCCATCCAGGCTCCGGGACGCCCGCTTGCTTGCAGTCCGCTCGAAGCGCGGGGCAGGCCTGTCGATGAGCGCGCTGGCCTGCCGGGTCTGAGCCTGAGTGCGGCCGCTGTATCGAAATTTGGATCCCAGCGCAAGGAATCTGCTTTTGGGGATGGTGTCTGTAGATGTCAGTCTGAGAGAGAAATCATAGTGATCATTTAAGATTACGCACAAAATCACTAAACATATTCTACAGTTCTCATAGTTTTCTTAGTTACTAAGACCTTTCCAATCGAGTAATCACTATTTTCATTTCATGTCATCTCTTGCTCTTTGTTTTGTGTTTAATTTTTGCCAGAGAATGTGTGTGCTCAGAGAGAGACGGGGAGTGGGGGCAGAGGGGAGCGAGAGAGCAGCCCTCACAAAGGTCACACTGCAGTCCCTCCCTTCCTTTCAGGGTTTCGGTGCCCGTGTGTGCCAGGCTGTGCGCTTCTCACAGAAAGCGGCATGTGGGTCCAGGTGCCTGAACCACCATGCCCCTGGCTGGCTCTTTAAGGTGGTTCTTTTCACTTAATTTTATTTATTCATTCATTTATTTTAACTTGACCAGACACGTGCATGTGCACACGCAGAGAGAGAGAGAGAGGGGGGGAAAGAGAGAAAGAAGCCGCCAGGTCCGGGACTCGAACCGCGGTCGGCCATGTGGGAGGGAGTCCAGTGCTTCTCCACCACGCCCGCTCTGGGCTCCTCTACATCATCTGTGAAAGCCACCAGTATAATGTGATGGGGGCCTGTCTCAATGATGTCATCTCGTATTTCTACAGAGAGGGCCTCAGAGCTTGCCTTTTTTTTTTCCCGTAGGATCTACGTGCTCACCAGAGAGAGACAGCGAGAGACAGTGCGAAACCACCCCTCAGAGGGGATGGCCACTGCAATCCTTCCTCGTCCACTCTCCTGACCCTGGGCATGCTCTTTCATTTCTTTGGGATCCTGGGCACGCTGACATGCCTTGCGCGATTTCTTTAACTACCAGGTCAGGGGGTTGAACTGTCATCGGTCACGTGGGAATCCAGCACTTTTTTTTTTTTGGAGAGGTTTTTGCTATAGGACACATGTGCTTGCCAGAAAGACAGAGAGACAGAGAGACAGAAAGCGAGAAATCACCCCCCAGAGGGGATGGCCATGCCGCAATCCCCTCTCCTCCATTCTCCTCTCGGGATCTTGGGCACGTACGCACATGCGCTCAGTGTGAGTTTAAGCTGCCGGGTCCGGGACTCGAACCGTGGTCAACTACATGGTAGTCCAGCAACATAGCCATTATGCTAACTGCTGGTCCTCATTCCAGCACTTTAACCACTATGCCACTTACTAGCCTCTAGTTTTCAAAATACTTAAATTTGTTTTAACTGGGAGCATGTGCTTGCCAAAGAGACAGAGACAGAGAGGGGGTGAGAAAGCACTCCCCAGAGGGCAGGCCACACCACCGTCCTCTGGCCGACACGTGCTCTCCGGGGTTTGAGCACACACGTGCACCCAGTGTGTCTTCAAGCTGCCCGGCCTGTGAGGCCAACGGTGGAACGAGTGCCATCAGCCCTGCCGGCCCCCAAGCTGGCCTCCACGTTGTGACAGGAGCACAGCAGCCTCGGGACGTCCCTGCAGTGTCCGTGCCATTCAGACACGGGCACTGGCTTCAGACCCGAGGGCTGGTCACAGGCAGGGCTGCGCGGCTGGGGCCGAGTCCTGCACCCCGCAGGACGCTGGTGTCTGCACGCCGGACCCTGCTCGGGGTAACCGTTGTAACGGAGATCTGGCATCGTCCCAGCTGTCTGGCCCCACATTCTCCCCACAGTGCCCTCCGCACCGTCTTGCTGGGCTGTGGCATTTACCACACTGCAGCCAGCCACACCACGCACACGGAGGGTGGCGGGCGAGGGCCACGGCGGGCGAGGGCCGCGGCGCCCTCAGTTCTGCGGTCCTGTTGAGCAGTGTCTGATGGGAATCAGAGGCCAGACTATGTTTGCTGAGTAAATACAGAAATTGTTGTATCGAATGTAGCCTCGGGGAGCACCTCCTCCTCTGGGACCACCCTGTGCCCCCCAGACGCATCCCTTCCCTCCACAGGGGACCCCACGTTTAACGCAGCCTGTCGTTTGGGGTGACGGATTCGAAGTGCCACCGTCCAGCAAGTGAACCCTGACTGCGGCTGAGATCCGTGCCACACGGTCATTCGGTTTCGCTTTCTTGCCCTTTCTGGTTTTCCCCCTATTTTTATTTTTATTAACTTTTTTGAATTGCCAGAGGGCACATGCCCTTTTTGCAACCTGACCTGGTCGGTTGGACTGTCATATATATATATATATATGTATGTATACTTTCTTTTTTCTTTTCTTTTCTTTTTTTTTGCAAGTAGTCATTTTTATTTATTTCAACAGCTTTGGAATTTGCAGAAATCTTTGCATATTTAACCAACAAATCCACATAACTCCTCTGCTCTCTCTGTGAGAAACTAGAGAAACGGGGATAAGGAACTCTTGGTTTTGGAAGAACCATTCCAACTGTGGTTTTAACTTTTCCCTTTGCTTGAGTTGCTGAACTAGCTGCCGGCTCATTTTCTACAGAACTTGCTGAGGCATTCAAATTTTCTCCTATACGTCTGTTAGATAAAATACACAGTTCTTTTAAATTCGGAGCCATGGAATGATCTTTATAATTTTCTTGGGAGAAAAATGTCTTAAGGCCATTTTTAGGAGAAACATCCCAGTTTAATCTTGGCTCACTCATGGCCATCTTGGTGCTCAGCATCCTGGATTTTTGCTTCACTCTAACTCAGAATTGTGATGTCTGGCAGCAAAGGTTCCAATAAAGGCAGGAGCCCTTTTTATACTCAACTCCACGCACACGCCACCCTCCTGGCTCCTATATGTATACTTTCTGCAACCTGACCTGGCCGGTGGTCTGTCTTTTATATATACATATGTACACTTTCTGCGACCTGACCTGGCCGGTGGTCTGTCTTTTATATATACATATGTACACTTTTTGCGACCTGACCTGGTCGGTTGGTCTGTCATATATGTATACTTTTCAGGGCACATGTGCTTGCCAGAGAGACAGAGACAGTGAGAAGTCACTCCCTGGAAGACGGCCATGCCACAATCCTCCTTCGTCTCCTCTCGGAATTCTGGACACACACTCTCCTGGCATGAGTTCTAAGTCACTGGGTCCAGGACTCAAACTGTGGTTGATTACGTGGAGTCCAGAGACATAACCATTACACCATCTGCTGGTCCCTGATTTTAAAGATGATGAAAACATAAAGAAATGTGTTGATGCTAAAAGCTAAGATTCTTGGGGCCAGCAGGTGGTGTGGTGCTTGGGGCGCTGGGCTCCCACATGGCAACCACGGTTCAAGTCCTGGACCTTAAGACATGCTTTCTCACTTTCCCTCTCTCTCGCTGGTCAAATTAAATAATAATAATAATAATAAACTTTAAAATAAATTCTTTTTAAAAAATTGAAATTCTTTATCAAGTAAAAGATGTACCCTAATGCCCCGTCTTGAAATGAGACGCACAGCGCTGTTTCCTTGGCTTCTCTTCCTGGGCACGGCCTGCGTCTCCCTGGCCCCAGAAGGTGCAAATGAAAGCAGACGGAGCAGGGGTCTCTCAGGCCACTCATACACAGCCAGGGTCACTCGTGGCCTGAGCTCTGCGGGAAGCAGAGGACGAAGTGGGTGGGCACAGGTGAAGTGGGTGGCCTTGGGGTGACAGCTACCTAGGCCGGGTGACCGGCACAAAGGGAGCACGGTACCCTGCTGCTCTGTGTGCGATGTTCCGTAACACAGGGACTTCTCTTTAAAAGCCAGGCTGATACTCAGTCAGCTCTTTTCTCCTTTTCTCTTCCTTGCCAGAGGTGCACGCCACGCCAGAGAAAGAGTGCGCCCCAGTGGGCATGGCCGGCTGCAGTCCTCTTCCTCCACCTCTCCCTCGGTCGGACTTGGGAGGCGCACGCACACGTGCCCAGCATATGTCCCAAGCTGCAGCTTCCTCTGCACTACTGCTTGTTAGCTAGCTTTGATTGTTTTCCATAGGGAGCACGTGCTCACACGACAGCGACAGTGGAGGCAAAGTGAGGAATCACCCTCTGGGGCACGGCCATGCCACAATCCCTTCTCCGAGGATTCTGGGCCCGTACGTCTGTGCGCCCCGCATGATTTTCAAGCAGCCAGGTTTGGGGACGAAACTGCAGTCGGCCATGTGGGAGTCCAGGGATGGAACCACCACGCCACCTGCTGGCCTGTCTATGTACTGTTCTTAGCCGCTGTGCCAGGGCCGGCCCAGCCGCTCTCCTTTCAGGACTGTGGAGAGCAGCCAGTCTGAAGACGCGTGACCTTTAGGCCCGCCACGGCACACAGCTTCCACCCCAGGAAACGAACCCGGGAGCACTGTGGCCTCTCGAGAAGGGACGTCACATCCTCCTTGTCCTGAGACAGCAGACTCGCCTCGCCCCCTTCCTGGGTCCCTTAGCGCCAGCACGCCATCGGCCTTTCAGTGCGAGAGCGGCCCGGACAGCAGCACGGCCGAGTCCTGACTCCAACGCGAGGACCACGGTGGCCACAGAGCCCCTTGTGACCCTGCTCCTGCCATGCACAGCAGGCGCCCTGCGAGCCCAGGGGCTGCTTCTCAGCCCAAGGGACCCAACTCAGTTTTGCTCAGGGTGACCTGACCCGAGCTCGATGGAGGGCACCAGCCTTAGGGTTCCGGTAGCAGCGTGACCAGAGATGTCCCGGCGACATCGGGGAACAGTACCTGAAAAACGTGTGATGCTCCACACAGACCTTCCATAACTTCTTGGCTGCTCGGTAACTCGGCAGCTTGAACCCGATGGTGCTCTCGTACTGCTCCTGCTGGAAAAGCACACAGCGCGGGCGTGAACGTTGGTGACGCCAGGGCCAGAGGGGCCGGTGCCCTGGCCCAGCCGCACAACACAAGAGTGCTGGCAGCCGCGGACGTCAGGGCCCGTGACATCGCTCCCCCCCAGGGCAGTCTCCACCCGAGGAGGGGTCCACACCGCACCCGGGTCCGCCAGGAGCGGGACTCCAGGAGCTGCTGCTTCACGGACTCCGGGACAGCGCCTGGCACGAGAAAGCCCCAGCCAACGTGCGCCGCCCGACTGCTCTGAGCCAGGCAAAGGCTCCGTGGCAACTCCCTACCAAGGTTTTAAGGCCGGCTGTCCAGAACTGCTGTCCCCGCTCGCAGAGGTGACACGCCACACAGAAAAGCCGCTATGTGGGCGCAGCACTCTCCTGTCCCGGGTTTTACAGCCATCAGTTCCCTGACCCTCAGCTGGGGTGCTGAGGGTCCTGTTCGAGCGACAAGGAAGCCTGCCTTCGCTCTCTGGGGCCTTCTGCTTATGGGATGGAGAAGGGACTAGAATGTCAAAAATTTAAATCCCACCTACACAACTTTCTGTGCCACGGTCGCTCTTTACCACAAAAGTTAGACGGGCCAAGGTCAGAATGCCCTGAGGCTCGCCGACCTGCATAACTGAGTCACCTTACGAGCTCGGACGGCCAGCTGGCTTAAAGCCCGGGCCTGCGCCTGGGCCTGAGATACACTCTCGGTAAGCACTGAGCTACGTTCGTAAATAAATCTTAATCATATGCGGAAAAGGGGCAGGTGATAGAACACCTAAGTGATTCAACCTCATGAATAATTTAAAAATCTTATGCTACTCAACTTAAAAATATTTCTCCGTCAGGTTTTTGCTGGGAATAACAGGATTATTGATCCAAGTTTCGCTTTCGGCATGCAATGCGCACTCGCAGACGGGAGAGCCCGCAGACAGGCGGTGCGGGAGGGCGAGAGCACAGGACTGACTGCCCAGGACGCTCGGCATCCGGATGAGGGGACCACACGGCAAGGAGGACAGAGGGGTGTCTGGGGACGGTCTGTGAGGAAAGGGACGCGAAGGCCGTACCTCTCCAGGCCGAATCTTGATGAAAAAGCTGCTCCGTTTGTAAGAGATCTTCAGCACTTTGGGCCAGGGAAAGCGGTTGATTCTCAGCTTGTCTTTGTAGACCAGAAGGCCGCTGGAGCAGACGCCCAGGATGATATCCACTCCCTCCAGGTCCTGGGGAGAGGCGGCGGCTTTCAGCCTCGAACAAGCACGCAGCACACTGCCGGCTGCACGGGCACGGTGCAGACCCCACGTGCAACTGCAGCCTGAAGGCGCCCACGACCAAAACCAGTCACGACACACCAGTGAGGGCCTAGGACACTCGGACGTCTTCAGACTCACCAGCGTCCCGTGGGCCTCCCTCACAGAGGGCCACGTCTCACCCCGGGCCACCAGCCGGCCCCAGGTTTGTACAGCCTGCATGCCCAACTACCTTTCTGTCTTTGGGGCGCACTTCAGAAAAACGATCTGCTTTACTCCACTTGGGAGAGGAGCACTGCCTGACTCCATGCATTCTGGAACCCACGCCTCCAGCAGGAGTCGAGAAAACCCAGTGGCTTCACCCTGTAGGGGCGCCCGACCCGACGTTCTGATCTTCCTAGAGGCTGCTCACACTCAGGGAAGCCGCGGCTTGTAGCTCAGAGCAGGCGGGACTGGCCGCTTGGGGAAAGGCCATGGCCTTTCATTAGAACTCACGGGATTTGGTTAAGACTTCAGGTACCAGATATGCAGGTTGGGAGACTCCTGAAAGGTTGTTTTGGCCCGATCACTTACCAGGTACTTCAGCGTCCTGTCCTAAATCCTGCCAAGGGACTCTCTTGCCTACCCTGGGACACCTCCGGGATCAGGAGCTCGCTGCTACTGAGGCAGCCCTGCCCATCTCAGGACGGCTGCCAAACGACCTGCCAAACTGGACGGGACTGGCCATTTCAGAGTTCCCATCTTACCACCTCTACGTCCCTATCTTGGAGCCCCAGGGAAACCTCGACTTCACACCACCCTTAAATACGCCAAGGCAGTTCCTGCAGCTTCCCAGAGCGTACCCCTGGAGCTTCCCACCCTAATCCCTCGGCTCTTTCTCGTTGGACTTGGTTTTGCATCTGTTTCCTCATCAGGGACCTTAGTTAAAGTTCCTCGCAACGACCCTAAAATCACTCCCTGGGGCCTCTCCCCCATATCTCGCCCTCCGCGTCACGGCAGCTGGAGAGTAACGGGCTGCACTCCTCACTCCCTGAGGCCCGCAGGCAGAGTGGGAATGCAGCTCCAGCGGCTAACCCTGCAGTTCTCAATGAGCACCACTGCCCCCTGGGTGAGCGCCAGGCTCCCTCGGGAGGCCGAGTTTCTTTTTTTTCTTTTTTTTGGAGAGGTTTTTGCTATAGGGCGCGTGCGCTCGCCAGACAGTCAGAGAGAGACAGAGAGACAGAAAGTGAGAAATCACCCCCCAGGGGGGATGGTCGCGCCACAATCCCCTCTCCTCCATTCTCCTCTTGGGATCTTGGGCACGCATGCACACGCGCCCGGCGTGAGTTTAAGCCACCGGGTCCAGGATTTGAACCACGGTCAACTACATGGGAATCCAGCGACATAGCCATTACACTAACTGCTGGTCCCTCAGAACCACTGTTTTTTTTGAAGGTTTAAAAGGCCCAGGTCGGTGTCCCTGAGTCAGTGACGTGCCACGATACACCTCGGGCGTCTGGCAGAGCCGGGCTGCCCTTACCTTCGCCTTGTGGAGGTCAACGCCGTACATAGACAGCTTTTTGGCATTCTCAAGAAATTCCAAGTCGGCCTGAGCTGGAGTCATGGACCTTTGACGGAGTGAAAATACAAAGTGCCTTCAGTGTCAGCGCCAACAGTTATGGCGAGAACATTGGTACAGTCACTGTCACACGCACAAACACGTACACATCAGCACAGATACGGATGCAAGATATTTCCGTCTTGGAAGTAGATTAATATAGAGCAGAACTCCTTTTTAATATGAGTCCAAATAATTGAAATATGCCTTTAAAAACAAGATCTGGAGGAAACAAAAAAGTTACCAGAAAGTTACCAGAAAGTTAAAAACAACTACCACACAATTTCCGCGACGCTCCCTCCCTGTCGTCAGTCTTTTCCCCCAGCATGCATGAACCACTCATTTTCCTTGCCAAGGAGATGGCCAAGTCCCACCCTCTGAGCAAGGTGCAGTTTACAATGTCCTTGGCCTTCTCCCTCTATACCTCGGGACCGAGTTATTACGGAAATTCAACCAGAGGGCAGCTGATACTTAACGGGGGCCTCCTAGTGGGGGCGACTGGATGGAGAGGAAGTGTCGGGTAAGAGACGGTGCCCTGCCCGCGCATCTCAACAGCTGAGCTGGTGAACGCACGCCGCTGGCGGGGCTGCAGTAAGCCGTCGTCACTGCCGCGAGGAACGCACCGTCCACACGCGTCCTGCTCGTCCCCCTCTGTGAGCTTCCTTTCCCGGGAGGGCTCACGGGAGCCTCTCAGGAACCACAAAGCTGCCACACGCCCAGGGAACCATGTGAGCGTGTCTCCCACGAGACCAGGAGCTGGTGGCAGCGGCCGCTTCCTTTAAGGAGAGGTCTCTTCCCAGCCCATCTGTCTTCATCCTCACTGGAAAGAACAAAGGCTCTGGGACAACCAAAGGGGGACTGTCAGGAGGCCACAGACCTGCTAGGGACTCAGCCTCCCTAAAAGAGACGTTTCCACAAGCTCGGAGGCAGCACACCGCAATTCTATTTAGTAACGCACCCGAACGTGAAAATGAAAGAGGGAAAATGGGAAAGTTAAGCCATATGCAAGTCGGCGTATTCAAGTCATTAAAAGAAAAACAAAACTCAAGAATATGTTTTTTTTCCATATAAATTATATACTTTTCCATTGGGCCCATGGGAACATCATGATGCATTTTTGCACAGAAAAACAAAAAAACGTCACAACTTTTCCAACTAGTTACGGTTACTGCCCATTCTTTTTCGTTGTTTTTGTTTCTGATGGGCTGAATTTCTGGATTTGGAGCTTAGATTACGAAGCACGCCTACGCCCCACCTCTGAGGAACAGGCCCAGGGAGCCCAGGGAGCGCAGGGAGCCCAGGGAGCACAGGGACCCTGAGCACGGCGCAGGCCCAGGGAGCGCAGGGACCCTGAATGAGGTGCGGCCCAGACAAGGGGAGCCTGCTGCTCCAGCTGCGACCCTGGCTCCTGGCTCCAGCACCTGACAGCGCAGGGCCAGCGCCTCCTTTCATCTTCCTCCAGAGCCCCGCCCGGAGGGAGGACTTCCTGTCTGTGCTGGGCGGAGGAGCGTGACCGCTGGCCGAACGAGATGATGGCTGGGAGAATGACTGGGAGCTGCAAACCCTGATTACCACTGTAGTAAGCTCAGCTTCTCACTCTCCAGCTGGCCGTCCACCCAGAATAAAGTCCCAGGAAGAGAAAGCACTTGAATCCCTTGAATTTGAAGATAAATTTGGAAACATTAAATGAAGCAGTCAGGATACTCTTCCCCATAATCACTCTCCTAACCCTAAGAAATATTAATAGGGTCAACAGATCCAACCATGGGTGGTGGTGCACAACTAACCCCAGACATTGGGGAGGATCACAGGAGGGTCACAAGTTCAAAGCCAGCCTGGGCAAGACAGCAAAAACTTGTATCTTAAAAAAAGAAAGAAAGCTGAATACATAGTTACACGTCCAACCATGCAGTGCAATGCTTCTATAAATAAGCGCGCTTTAAATGCGAGTCAAGGGCAGGAGGTAAGGAGAGGTCCTTAACACTTTTCAGTCAGAATAATTGTATTTGAAGTTTGGCTTATGTTCACGTTTACAATTTTTCACATAATTTTGAATTTGTAAAATACCCTTAAACCTAAAAGCTGCGTAAACACCAACATCGAGCACTTTTCCTGAACCATTTGAGCCTAAGCTGCCAGGAGACAGCCCGACACTCCTGCGCGCTTCCAGCGTGCTTCCTGTGGACAAGGACACCCTTGATGTGGCTCAGCAAGGCGGTCAGGGCCGGAGGCTGGCCGGAACGCTGCGCCGCTCAGCCTCAGACCACACTCAGCTGTAGCCAGGGGTCGGGCTCGCTCTTCAGGGCAGCGCCCAGCTCACTCAGGACGAGGTGCGTCTAGAGTAGCTCCTACCTCTCGTCTTCTCCAGACCGGAAGAGTTCCTTCATCGTTTTTTTGTTTGTTTGTTTTTTAAATTTGCTACAGGGCGGGTATGCTTACCAGAGGCAGAGAAAGAGAGAGAAAGGGCGAGAAGTGAGAGAGCAACCAGCCCTGGGTGGATGGCCACGCCACAGCCCCTTCTCGTTCGGGATTTGGGGCATGCGCCCACGTGAACCTGCTCTGCATTTCAAGCCTCTGTGTCCGGGACTCCAACCACACAGTGGGCCTGAACACCAAGCCACTGGCTGACCCCACCTCCATCTTTAATGTCCATGACCTCGTCCTTCTGTATGCCACAGGCCAGTCCTGCGGCACGCCGTTGACCAACAAGCATTTTGTGGGAATGTTCTTGAAACATTTAATCCAATTGGATTTTGTGTCCTGACCATTTCTCATTATTTTTTGAGTATGTCCTTCTGGCACACTGCAGAGTTGGAGTATGCATGTGTGTACACAGGAATGCATGCATGTGCGTACATGGTATATATGCACACATGTACATAGGAACGCACGTGTGTGCATAGGAATGTATACATGTATGCACATAGAAGTGTGTTCATGTGTGCACATAGATATGTATGTATGTGTGCACATAGGAATGCACGCACACATGTACACAGGCATATATGTATGCACTGGAATGCATGTGTGTGCACAGGAATGTGCATACATGTGTGCGCAGGCATGTGCGTGTACCCATCTACATACGCATTTCTATATCTAGCCATATGTTGAAAACAACGAGTTCACACCAAAGCCTTCTTTTATTTTGAGAGATTTTTGCTATAGAGCACGTGTGCTTGCGAGAGAAACAGAGAGCGAGAAATCACCCCCAGGGCGAATGGCCACACGGCAATCCCTTCTCCATTCTCTTCTCGGGATCTTTGGCACGCACACACATGCACCCAGTGTGAGTTTAAGCTGCTGGGTCCAGGACTCGAACTGTGGTTGACTGGGAACAGGGGGAGCTGCCTGTGCAGGGGCAGTCTGGCTTGGGCTGCTGAGGCCTGTGCAAGGCAGGAAGAGTCCAGTGACATAGCCATTATGCCATCGGGCCCCTGCCGTCTTCTTTTTTTTTGAGCCAAGGCCTTGCTCTGTTGCCCAGGCGAGCCTCAAACTCATGATCCTCCTGCCTTAGCTGCCCCTGGTAGCTGGAACTACAGGTATGTGCCACTACCCTGCACAGAACCTCTAGCCATTTTTTTTCATTGATGACAAATCACGTGAGCACACATATGAAGGAGAGACTGCACCAGCACTGGGTCTGGTCCTGCGCCAGCCCGGGCTCGGCCGCCAGTCCCTGAGCACCTGCACTCACCATGTGTGCCCGGCGGGGCCGGCCGGGGCGGCA